AGTAAATAAGAAGGAAAGAGAAGCAAAACACAATACTAGCTGCACAAATAGTCAACACCGTAAAGTTTCCCGGCAACGACGCCAAAAAGTGATCGCAACGGACTCAACCTGAGGAAGAGTGGGCACTAATACTTTTACCCAATAGTGGTATCGGGGTCAATTTTCCACAGGGAACTTCAATTTGGAGTTGCGTGTTTGTATAGTCTAGGACTATGTTTTAGCTCCTAATTGATCTTCTAACATTTTTGGTTTTCTTTTGATTAATAGCTACAATTTATCAACTACAATTGTAAAACTAAGTTATGCTAAAATTATGATTCTAAGTTGTATGCAATATAGAGAAAGGCACTAGGGTCGTGGCATGTACCTAGGTGGTCAACTAACGGGTAGAGATTCCTAATGCAAGAATGATGACTATGGGACTTATGCTATAATCGTTGCACTTTTGCACTCACTCTCACACCTCTCGGTAGAGAGAGTGATTTTGCCCAATTGACTCTCTCGAGACCAATTGTGTAGGCCAATTTGCGCAAGCAACTTATGGTTCAAGTTGGGTAATTACTCTCTCGAGGTTTAACCCGTTAATTGGGACTACCATTCTCATGGGTCCATCCCAATTCCTTGTTGGAATTAATCTTGGGGTCATAGACTCTCTTTCTCAAGCAGAGTCAAGACTCACTAACTAGACTTAGTGTTTGCAACCACCAAATCTCNATTCAAATAACAAATACCCAACATCATTCATGCACTAAACAATCACACCCATTAATTACCCACACTAGGGTTGAGCCACAACCCTAGCTAATGGGTTTAGCTAGCCATAATAGAAACAAAAATTGAAGAAATAATAGATGAAATTGACATAACAAATAACTACAATGTTAATCTACTCAAATCCACGTTAATACTAGAAGAAATTGCCCAAAATAGGCTAAAATCATGAAATCCCGAGTTCAGCTGCTCTATGCTCTCAAAATAGATCTAAAAAACTATTGCTAAAAAGTAAAATGTTCTATTTATGCTACACAGGAAAAACAGGACAAAAATACCCCTGAGGGTCTGGCGCGGACCGCGTACAAATGTCACGCAGCCGCGGAGGGCAATAAGTCTTCAAGTCTTGCTTCTGGAACTGAGGGATGCGGACCGCATAGATATGTCACGCGGCCGCATAGGCTAAGATGCGCGGACCGCGTAAAAATGGGATGCGGCCACGTGGTAGACTTTTGCCCCAAACTCAACTCTCTGGACTTTTACCCATGCGGACCGCACTGATTTGATGTGCTGCCGCGTGGGCTTTTGCCTTGATTTTCTGGGTCTCTGAACTTCCCTCAGTGCGGACCGCGTGGAATTGATTGCGGACCGCGTGGCTTGACTTCAAACTTGCAAGGTCTCTGAACTCTCCTGCGCGGCCGCGCACCAAATCAGTGCGGTCCGCGCAGGTCATCTTGTTCCCCACTTCAGTTGTCTTTTGACACTTGGCAGATTTCACTCCTTTTTGAGTCGATCTCTGATATTTATCATCTTGTCGCTCAAACCTACAATCAAGTGTAATTTGTAACCATTTTGGGGCTAATATATGGCAATTAATGCACAAAGCTCAGGTAAGAATGGGTATAAAACATGTAGAAATCACAGTTATCACACCTCAATTTATTTTTAAAGACTTGCATTTAATTTGAAGCACACTATGGTTTTCATTTCTTTAAAACTAATCTTGAAATTCAATGCAAGGCTATTGACTATAGGTATGGCCATATAAAGGAAGTCTTTAGTTATTTGAAAGACATTGGGCCTGTATTAGGCCCGTTACATTATTAAGAGCAGAATAAAAATGTTGATGCCAACTGGGCCCAAAATTGAGCCCAAATGTAAAGGCAAAGAAAGATGGAAATCGTCAAACAATGTCCTGTTGATCCTATCCCAGAGCGACAAGCAGCAATCTTGAATGGACAACCAGTTGTTAGATTTACGGAGGCAGAAGTTGAGAGAATGAACGTGATCGAGGATCTCCAATATGCTGTGGTGGGAAAGTTTGCATATGGCTAGCCAGATTTAAATGAGATTCGTCTCATTGTTCCCTCTCAATATGGATTAAAGGGAGAATGTAGTATTGGTTTGTTGAGAGACAGATATGTCCTTATACGTATGACCTTGTGGAAGGATTTTGTTGATTTTACGTCGAAAGGAGCTCAATAAGTCAAGGACAAGAACGGCAATGAATACAAAATTCGACCTCTCATTTATGATGTGAAGTTTAAGGTAGGAGAAGAGACTCCAATGGCTATGGCTTGGATATCTTTTCCAGGTCTGTTACATACATACTTTGTGAAGGAGTGTATGTTTTCTCTTGCTTCAGCTGTTGGGAAATCTTTACATTTGGATATGGCTACTATAAATAAGACTCGACCTAGATATACGAGGGTAAAAGTTCTTGTCGATTTATTAGCTGATCATCCTAAAAATGTAAGAATGGACATTGTTAATGAGGCAACAGGTGTAACAAGGACTGAATGGGTAAACATTAAGTATGATATGATTCCTAAGTATTGTAAGGAATGCAGATTACAAGGCCATGATTATTTTGAATGCTGGATATCTCATCCGGAATTATCACCTTATCAAAGCAAGCAGAATGCTGAAAATAACAAGGAGCAGACTCAACTGCATCATAATCAACAATTGATGATCTTATCAAGTGAGAGAGTTGTAGGTAATGTGAATCCACCTGGGGAACAATGGAAGGAATTAAGAGACAATCGAGTGAAGAAGAATGGAAATCGTGTGGTTACAGGGAAAGAAATTGTTCCTGTTGAACAAGCTAACGGGCAGCAGCTGCTAGGATCTGGTAATCCTCAAAATAATGTTAATTTATCAAAGGAAATCATGACAGCTAATGATAATAACCAACAGAACATTGGTAATGGAAGGAGGCAATTTTCTCAATTTAATACAGCCAAACAACTTCAAACAACAAACAAATTTGCAGCTCTACAAGCAGAACATGAAAGTACAGCAGGAAATCAATTTGTTATTGTTGAAGGAGCTGATATGGAGACCACACCTATTCAGAAGCCCTTGGATTCAGATGCAGCAATTTATACTCCTATGTCTAATGAAGTGGCATCATCAAAGAGAATTCATGTTGGGCATCCTAATGGGGAAAGGGATGAAACTAAAGCAGGTGTAGAAATAGGTAAGAAGAATACTTCTCAATGGGTAAATAGAACCTTCCCAATGTCTAAGGTTACTACAAATCAGTCATGCCAAGAAACCCCCTCTCAATCACTATATACAAGCATAATTCCTGAGCATGAAAGTCTTAAGGATCGTGTCAATTTTTCGAGAGGTAAACTATGGCAGCAACAACGTGAAGAGGAATCAGACGAAGGGGAGTTCCTAGAAGGACATGAGGATGTGGAAGAAATACAAAGCAAAGATCCAGATGTGGAACAACAAAGTGTCAATGGAAAAAATAGCAGAATTGAAATACTAAGAGTAGAAGAAAGTAACAATGCTAATACTACAGCTGACCAACCTTTCCAAACTGAACAGCCTCTTAAAATCACAATACCACCATCCAATCCTGAACCAAATTTCTCTGGCACTATTGAGACACATGAACCTACAGTCCAAACCTTTAAAGCAGGGGATACAGATGATCTAGGAGATCCAAATAAAAAAAAGGAAGAAGCAAGACAACAGCAAATGGAAGGAACTCAGAAGAAAGTGGAATTATAATTGTAGCAGTTCTTAGGCAATACTAATGTAGGTGATGGGGCTACCTTAACTCAAATGCAAGAAGCAATAACATGCCCTAATCCATCAACTACAAAGGAAATGGTCACGATGAAAACCAGTGCTAAGAGTGTGGTTCCTAAAACTACCAGGAATCAGTTAATCAATCAAGAAAATTATGAAGAAGAGGACCAGACACAAAGGGCAAAAGGAAGAGATACAGATGCAGAATATAATACACAGAACTTCATAAATGTTGCTAGACAAGATGATATCTCACCTAGAAAGATGGAGAAAGGTAAATCAGCAGGAAGAGGGAAGAAAAACAACCAAGAGAGAATACTGGGGTGCATATTCCAGGAGTCCAAACAAGGAGAACTCTATCCAAATCAATCAATTGATGATGAATGCTCTAATTTGGAATATAAGGTCAGTTAACACAATGCAAGCATTTGAAAGGGTAATAACATTGGATAGACAGCATCAATTCGATTTTATTGCTTTGATGGAACCAATGCAACAGACTAGAACAGTTGAGCAATATAGAAGAAGGCTGGGTTTTGAGCAGGTGGTTGTGAATGTTTCAAACAAAGTATGGATCTTCATAGATCAAAAATATGATTTTGACATTATTTTTAACATGGAGCAGCAAATTACTTTAAAGATGACCAACACTGATGACCATACAGAGTTCATTATTACCATGGTCTATGCTAAATGTGATGCAAGAGAAAGAATTGAGTTGTGGGACACTTTGTATTCCTTGGCTACTGATATGGTTTTACCCTGGCTTATGGGTGGAGATTTTAATGTGATATGGGATGAAGAAGAGAAATTTGGGGGCCTCCCAGTTCATATAAATGAGATTGATGATTTTAGACATTGTATAACCACATGCAACCTTTTTGATCTTGGCTTCAAAGGAAGCATATTCACATGGTGGAATGGGAGAGCTGAGGAAGATTGCATATTCAAAAGGCTAGACAGATGTTTAGGCAACATGGAGCTTCAACAACTTTGGCCAGTCTTGGAGATAAATCACATATCTAAGATTGGCTCAGACCATAGCCCAATGCATCTCACATATAATCCTAGTACTGGTCAGATAAAAAAAGCATTTAGATTCTTAAATTTCTGGATCAAACATGAGACATTCTTAGATGTAGTTAAGGAGCATTGGCAGACAGACTTCCATGCAAGTCCTTTCATACTTTTTAACCACAAGATGAAGAACTGAAGAAAGCTCTTTCTACATGGAGCAAGTCCATGTTTGGTGATATATTTCAAAGGATATCTAGCTTGGAGGAAGTGGTGAAGGTACATGAGATACAATTTGAACTGAATCCAACTATACAAAATCGTGAAAGGCTCCAAAGGGTGCTGGCAGATTTTATTCGAGTGTGGGATTTGGAAGAAGAATTTTGAAAACAAAAAGCAGGTATGGCTTGGTTCAAAGATGGAGATAGAAATACTAAATTGTTTCATGCTCATGTTAATGGCAAAAGAAGGAAGCTACCGCTGAAAAGAATACAATACATCAATGGGAATTGGTTGGAAGATCCATCAGCTATTGCAGATGAAGCTGTTCTTTTCTTCTAGCAGCAGTTTCATGAATCCACAATTCCTACTGACTTTAGGATATTGGATCATGTCCCAGTAATGTTAAATGAAGTGCAAAACTGTGATCTTACAATGAAACCAACAATTGAGGAAGTGAAAAAGGTTGTATTTGGTTTGAACGGGGACAGTGCATGGGGACCTGATGGATTCAATGGTAATTTCTTTCATGCTTGTTGGAAAATCATTGGGGGAGACATAGTAGACATGGTGCAGGATTTTTTTTGTGGGAAGGATCTACCCAAATTTGTGACTCATACAAATTTGATCCTACTACCTAAGAAGAAGGATGTCCAGAACTTCTCGGATTTAAGGCCAATTAGCTTGAGTAATTTCTCTAACAAAATCATATCGAGGGTTATTCATGAGAGGATAGTGGATATAATTCCTAATATTATATCTGATGAGCAATCAGGGTTTGTAAAAGGTAGAAGTATTGCTGAGAATGTATTACTCACTCAAGAAATAATCACTGACATTAGATTGAGGACAAAGGCAGGCCCTAATATAGTTCTAAAATTGGACATGATGAAGGCATATGATCGACTCTCCTGGATTTTTCTAACAAAGATCTTGAGGAAAATGGGATTCTCTAAATGGTTTATTGGATTGATTTTTGGGATTGTATCAAACAATTGGTATTCAGTTCTAGTTAATGGCCAACCACATGGTTTTTTCAAGTCAACCAGAGGGGTGAAGCAGGGTGACCCTCTGTCACCTACACTGTTTATACTGGCTGCAGAGGCAATGTCAAGGGGTCTAAATGTTTTACATCATAATCTATACTTTTGTGGATTTGAAATGTCGAAGTGGAGCCCTAAGATCAACCATCTTGCTTATGCAGATGATGCAATCATTTTCTCATCATCAGATGATACTTCTTTAAGATTGATTATGGAAGTTCTAAATGCTTACAAAGCAGCATCTGGACAACTAATCAACAAGGCAAAATCTGTAGTTTATGTTCACCATTCTACAAGCGATGAAGTTGGTAGGAAGATTGAAGGAATAACTAGTATACAGAGAAAGGATTTCCCATTCATCTATTTGGGTTGTCCTATTTTTTACAAAAAGAGAAAAATGGAGTATTATGAAGATTTGATATCAAAAGTGCTGGATAAACTTCAAGCGTGGAAAGGGAAACTATTATCTATCGGAGGAAGGGCAGTACTAATCAGCAGTGTGTTGCAAACCATGCCAATTCATCTACTTTCTGCAGTAAATCCACCGGCCTATGTTTTAAACAAACTGCATAATTTGTTTGCGAGATTCTACTGGAGCAATTCTATTGATGGTAGAGCTAGACATTGGGTATCTTGGGATACTTTATGCTTACCTAAACATGAAGGAGGAGTGGGATTTCGATCCTTAAATGATATGTCAAATGCTCTCTTTTGCAAGCTATGGTGGAACTTCAGGACTAAGCCATCTTTATGGAGCTCTTTTATGAGTCAAAAATATTTGAAGAATATGCATGCAACTGTTGTGCCTTGGAGAGGTGGATCACACATTTGGAGAAAAATGTTGGAATGCAGAGACTCTACTGAACATCTGATTTTCTGGAAACTAAAAATGGGATCTTCCCTATTTTGGTTTGACAATTGGACAGGCTTGGGGGCCCTTTACTTTGTAATACCCCCGGAGTTTATAGTTGATAAAACAATCCATAATGTGAATGATGTTGTTGTGGAAGGGCAGTGGGATGAACATAAAATTAGAGAAATATTGCCAGGTGACTTAGCTATGCACATTATGCACACCATACAAGCTCTATCGATGAATGATGAACTGGACAAACCTATTTGGTGTTTGGAAACAAGAGGTCAATTCACGGTTAAGTCAGCTTGGGAATATTTGAGGAGAAGGAAAGATCCAGCTATTACATACGACAACATGTGGGTTAAAGGATTGCCTTTTAAGATCTCATTTTTTATGTGAAAACTGTAGAAAGGTAAGCTACCACTTGATGATGTAATTAGAAAGATGGGATACTACATGCCATCTAAATGTTGGTGTTGTGTAATGCCAAACGAAGAGACTTTAAGCCATGCTTTCTATCGATCACTCACGGCCTTAAAGGTTTGGTCTTACTTCTATTCTCATGTTAGATTATCTCTTGAGGGCTTAAACCTGCATCAGGCTATTGTGAAATGCTGGACAACAAAGGTAATTCCGAGACTCAAACCAATATTCCAAGCACTGCCAGGTATAATTGTGTGGGAACTATGGAAAAGGAGGAACAACAATAAGCATGGTGAGGTAGTGTCAACCAATCGAGTGGTATACCAAGTCTGCAATACTATTCAATCTCTTATTAAACTAAGGAAGCCAGGCATTGATCGAGTACCATTCACATGGCCTGATATACTTAGAATGATGGAGAACTACACTCTCAAACTGAAGTTCTACAAGGTTTTATAGGAACTCCCTATGACAGGTTGGACAAAAATTAACATTGATGGGGCCTCGAGAGGTAATCCAGGTAGGAGTTTAATTGGCTTTTGCTTGAGGAATGAGGAAGGATATCTGCTCTATGCGTGTGGAAAAGAAATTGAAGAGGTGACAAACACTCAAGCAGAAACAAGGGCAATGTTAGAGGCCCTGAAACATTGTTTGACTAATGAGATGAATAACATATGGGTAGAAACTAATTCTATGCTGCTCAAGAAGGTCATCACAGGGGAGTGGAAACCACCATAGGTTATTGAGGAGGAAGTGAAAGAGATAAGGAAGATGCTAATGTTGTACAATGGCAGGATAACACATATTTCCAGAGAGGGGAACAAGCTAGCTGATCATTTGGCAAACTATGCTCTTGATCAAGGAGTCATAGAATGCCACTCTTTCGATCATCTGGATACACAAGGCAGAAGACTAGTTAATGGAGACAAAATGCAATGTCCATTTCTGAGAGTAAAGGCTTCGAGGCAGTAGAATGAGAGGTTAACACAAGGTCAAAGGGGATGATTTCAAATCCTAGGGGAGGAAAGGAAGTCGACAAATGTTATTTTACTAACCTTGGGTTCTTTTTTGCAGGAATCTATATTGTGCTCAAGACATGTCAATTAATACGACTTCTATGGGTGGTATTAGTACTTTGTGCTTAATCCCTTGAAGGAGGAAAGGTGACATGCATAAGCTTGAGGAAAATCAATTATTTGAAATGACAATCCATTAAAGAAAAACAGAAGGCTAAGAGGAAGAAATCATCAATGCAGCATCATAGTCGAGCACATGAAGTATCCAATAGTGTAGGGAACTCAACAACACACAAAGGATGGACACATGACATCGAGGTCAAATGTAGCAGAATCACTGATGTACCCAACATCCATAATGTTGCAGAAGTGACCAGTAGGTGTATATCTTCAATATACAACAGGAAACAAAATGCATATGCAGGGAACCAGTCTTTAGGAATACAATATAAGGATACAAAGTGCATCGCATGGTTCTGGCAACAGGTTGTGTCTGGAAATAATGAAGCTTTATTAAAGTTCATCATAAAGAACTTTTCAAACGCAACAACCTACATAAATCCAATGCACTCTCTCGACTGAAAGTGTGTTAAACAAAGGGAGGGGACAGAGGATAAGTACTCGATAGGTGTAAAAAGCTTAGAAGCATGGTTGCACATGCCAAGAACATGGGGCCACAAAGGATTCATGAGATTTGGGACTTTAAATAAAGGAACATTGGGTAGTGTTTTCTACACACCTAAATTTTTGGACAAAGCATGGGCCATTACAATTACCCATGGAAGACTAAAAAAAGGAAAACTTATTGCATTTTCGAGGTGCTGGAAATTTTACACAGTAAGGAATCATTATGAGCATCTCAAGCTAACGCACGCCTACGCAAAAATCATCTGTAATATGCTTTCTTTAATAGCAAAAAGGCTTGGATGGAGCAACAATGCTATTCAAACAGATGAACAGTTCTTCAAGAGGGAATCAACATGGCAACCTTCGATGCAGGAAGAATTTGAGACACAATGGGTAATATGCAGTCAATAATGGAACAAGACATACACTTTTATGGCAATCAAAGGTTCACACAAATACACAATGAGTTACGCTATTATTGCGAGTGCAGCGACAGGTACAAGATGCAGTTAAAGAAAATCTGGACTGAATACTGGACTTTGGATATATTTTCCATAAATTTAACAAAGTCAAAATACACCCTATCATGGGACGCTCACTATGCACGACTACATTTTAAACACTTGGCTAATGCTAGATCTAATGTAATATCAATGTTGACTTTCAAACTCAATATTGATAATAGGTTTCATGTAACCGTCAAAGTTTATCTATTTCATTATGTTAGACCCCCTGACAATGTATTTTATTTATGATTTTATTAGTTATAAAAATTAGCCCTAGGCGATTGCCTAGCAGATCAAAAAAAGAAAGAAAGATGGAAACAATGGAAAACCTGCTTTCTGCCTAGCAGCCTTGTTTGGGCCATCGCCAGGCCCAAAGAAGTCAACACCTCAAACACCCAAAGCCTGCTATAACTTAACTCATCACAGTTCATGTATAGTCATGTTTGCACAAATTATAGATGAAGTGCCTAACTAAACTATTTATCATACATTTAGTAATAGCTAAAAAACAGAATCTTTAAATCGTTCCTAAATTATTTTTCTTTTCTTTTAAAAAAAAAAAAAGAAAACCTAAGTAAATAGTCACTTTAAAATGCTGGAATTGGCACTAGTAAAAAACTGAACATACTTAACAGCCGAACACTGCATTTTTTAATATGCATAATTCTTTTGAACACTATGGAAATGCTAAAACACTGCAATAGTTATTCATGAAGCAACAGGAACATACAATTATTTTACACACTGTAGTAATACTAAAATACTTTAACCAAATGTTCTCAAGCATCAATCATGGTCTATTTTGACCATACTCAGTACTTATCCAAATACTTAAACATGAAAATCTCATATATTACCAAACATTAAATTTAAAACACTAGACAGAATCATATGAGCAGTACAAAAGAGTGAAAGTTAACATTTTCTTTTAAACTAGACTACTTAGCCTAAAACATAGCATATGCAAGAGGTGCTATTCAAACCTTCAATACTAAACATCCTAGTTATTTCATGAAACCACACAAAAAAACTTTAATGTAGCTAACAGAAGCTAATAAGAAGAAGGCAAAAAAAAAACAGTAATCGAATGAATTAAAAGAAAACATCAGACAGAAACAAAATGTAAACATGAACTCTGAAACTCCATGGCAGCAGTACACTCTTCAAAACAAGCTTTCATTCATGATTCAAGGATCAAAGTATACCTTGGTTACAAAGAATAGAAACAAAGCTGTGAATCTTCAGAGAAAACAGCAAAGAAAACCGAGACAAGCAGTCAATGGAACAGTAGCCAATAACCAGCAGTATCACAGCTTCAAATTCAAACCCTCTTGCAACCCAAAAGCCCAGAATCTTTAAAAGAAAATTTATTCTGATTTATGTGGAACTTAGAAAAAGAAATGAAACCCCTTCTCAATGAAAAAGTAGCTGAAACTTTTAAAATACTTTTTAGGGTTCTAAAAATCTGATTCTGTGTCCTTTTCAGAATAAAATAGCCTACATAGGCTACTTAGGGAGGGTATATTTTGGGAATACTCCTTATCCTATAGTCTGAAATTAGTAAAATACAGCTATCCTCCTTATCCTGTTTCAGCATCTTTTGTAACAGCTAGGACAGCTGTACCATTTCTAGAAACTTTCTCTTCCTAGATATTTTCTAAAAATTGTCCTAAGTATCTTTTAGTTCAATTAGGTCCCTATAAGTTGCTACTGATTTTTAAATCAGTGTAAACACAAATGGGCATGCTAATGTAAATTAAACACCAAAACTTGACAATGATTGAACTTTAAATTTTTGGACACTTAAAAACCTAAAATGAGCTAATTTTATGATGAACTTTTGCTTTAAACAACCAGAAACCTAATTCTACTCAAACCGCAACAAAATGTTATACCAAATCAAATTGAATCTAAGAGATGAACAACGAAGCATGAACTAGTATGAAGCATTTGAATTAAACTATCAACAATAATCTAAATAACCTAGAGCATGCAAATAAACACAAAAACGAAAAACAAAAAGAACAAGAAAACAAAAGTAGGAAAGGGAAAACAATTTAAGGATCCTAAAATTCAATTCATGTTAATGATTAATTAATCAAAAAATAAAAAGAAAAACAGAGATGCCTAAACAAAACCTAATCAACACATTTTTTCATTTTCTTTTGTTTTTAACCAGTAGATCAAAACATAAAAAAAATAGGACAAGAAAACAAGGGAAAAGAAATACCTAATGAGACTCAGGAAGGAAGAATTGACCTTGTTGGCTAGACTCTAATTCGTGCTTCGAGGTGGGTCCAAAATTATATTAAGCAATCGTTCTTGTTGAGAACGATTAGTTAATGTAATTTTTGGGCTCAACTCGTACCTTGAAACTCAAGGAACTAGAAGAAAAATTGGCAAAGTGGGTAGGTTGGGGTTTCGAATTTCGAGATCTGGAATTAACGGAATTGGGTGGGTTTTTTTGGGGGAAAGGTTAGTAGATTGGTATAGAGGGGGAGGCTGGGGAGTGTGTATGGTGAATTTGGGTTGATTTGGATGAACTAAGGTTTAGAATCTGATTGTTAGATCTAAGATTTGAGGATTTGGGAAGGGATTTTTGAAAAACGGTTTGTGGACTCGGAAAGTGGAGGGATAGGAGATTGTGGGGTGCTAATTTAGGGGTATTTGGAGCACCGGAACCGCCATGAGGCGATTTCCCGTGGTGGTTAGCGGCGGAGAATTTTAGGGCAGTTAAGATTTGGTGAGAGACTAGTTCCCAGCCGTTGGATCACACGAGATCAACGGCTGGGATTCAAGGGATCAAAAACGGGGTCGTTTAGCTTTA